GGTTTTCTGAGCTTCTTGTTGATCTCCTTGGTGCGCACTCCTGTTGGTGTGTGAGCTTATATCGACCTGTTGGGCGTCGCATGAACCTACGTCCACTGGAATTCGTCCTAGTGCGTTCTCAAGGTTTCGTGGTGGCACACCAACACCTGGAGCAGCCACATCGTTCTCTCCATGGTTCTCCAGATTGTCGTTTTCACCTCCAATTACTGAGCTAGGCATTTCGACCTGAAATTGAAGATCTTGGACAAGAAAAGGTGTGAAAGATAACTTGCGTTGTGTAATGAAACCAGCAACAAAATAATCACGCCTTGGGAACCCCCCACTTTCTCTCTATAATCGTCGGTCCAGGTTGCCTCGAGGTTGGACACCGATGTCCCTTCGGGATAAAATTCGATCGTGGTTTCGAGCCTTTGGAAACCTTGCTTACAAGGCGTTGTAATGGCCAAAAATTGGACCCTCCAATTTTACCGTACACAAGGTCAAATGTCAATAAATTCGAGCGAGGTCAAATGTGATTCGATTCGAACGAGGTCGAATGTCTGACTTTTTAAATGATTCGAACGAGTTCGAATGTAAATAAATTCGAGCGAGGTCGAATGTGAGTTGATTCGAACGAGGTCAAATGTCTAACTCTTTAAATGATTCGAACGTGGTCGAATGTATATAAATTCGAGCGAGGTCGAATGTGAGTCTATTCGAACGAGGTCGAATGTCTGACTCTTTAGATGATTCGAACGAGGTCAAATGTAAATTAATTCGAGCAAGGTCGAATGTGAGTCTATTCGAACGAGGTCAAATGTAAATAAATTCGAGCAAGGTCAAATGTGAGTCTATTCGAACGAGGTCGAATGTGAGTCGATTCGAACGAGGTCGAATGTCTGACTCTTTAAATGATTCGAACGAGGTCGAACGTCAACAAATTCGAGCGAGGTCGAATGTGAGTCTATTCGAACGAGGTCGAATGTTTGACTCTTTAGATGATTCGAATGAGGTCAATTGTAAATAAATTCGAGCAAGGTCGAATGTGAGTCTATCCGAACGAGGTCGAATGTGTGACTCTCTAAATGATTCGAACGAGGTCGAATGTTAATAAATTCGAGCGAGGTCGAATGTGAGTCGATTCGAACGAGGTCGAATGTCTTACTCTTTAAATGATTCGAACGAGGTGGAATGTCAATAAATTCGAGCGAGGTCGAATGTGAGTCTATTCGAACGAGGTCGAATTTCTGACTCTTTAAATGATCAAACGAGGTCGAACGTTAATAAATTTGAGCGAGGTCGAATGTGAGTCGACTCGAACGAGGTCGAATGTCTAACTCTTTAAATGATTCGAACAAGGTCGAATGTCAATAAATTCGTGCGAGGTCGAATGTGAGTCGATTCGAACGAGGTCGAATGTCTGACTTGGCGTAATATATGAACTTGGTGGAGATAAATTCATTCGTGCATAATTCGCTATGTTTATACATCCATTGGAGAAGTTTACATATGTTGAAGTTTGCATGTTTTTCTAGAAGTCCCAGTCCATCTAGTTCCTTCATTGGTCGACCTGGAAAAGTAGTTGATAGGTCGAGCAATGAACTTATACTAAAAACTCTGAGACGGTCTCTTCGTCGCCTCGTTAAAAACCTCCCCAAGAAAACCTAATCGGGACAAAACTCGGGTAAAGGAAAAAAGAGTACGACTCAGGAGACGTCTATCCTTAGAAGTTGAAGTATTTGAGGTGGGCGACGTTCCAATTGTTTGGTAGTAATTTTCCTTCCATTGTTTCCAGTTGGAATGACCCTTTGCTTGCTACCGCCGTGATTTTATATGGGTCATCCTAATTGGTTCCCAGTTTGCCTTCTCGTGGGTCTTTGCTTGCTTGTGTTTTGGCTTCGAGTACGTAATCCCCAACTTTGAGTGGCCTAATTTTGGCTTTTTTTTTGTAGTACCGCTCTGCCTGTTGTTTATGAGCTATCATTCTTATGTAGGCATGTCTCTTCGCTCTTCGGCTTCATCGAGGTCTTACCTTCTGTTCTCGTTGTTGCTTTGCCCGCTTTCATTTGAGTATCTGAAGATGGGCTCCCCGACATCGACTGGTATCATTGCAGCAGTTCCATGTACTAGTGAGTATGGCGTTTCCCCTGTTCTCGTCTTTGGCGAGGTGCAATATGCCCATAACACTTCTGGTAGCACTTCCGGCCACAGTCCCTTGGTGTTTTCGAGTTTCTTTTTCATGATATTCAATATTGTTTTGTTGGAGGATTCTGCTTGACCATTGCCTGCGGGGTGATATGGCATAGAGAGTAATCTTTTGATGTGCCATTTTTCGAAGAACTCGGCGGTCTTTTTTCCGATGAACTGGGGATCATTGTCGCAACTGATTTCTTTGGAGATACCGAAGCGGCATATGATGTTTCTCCGTATGAACGTGATTACTTCTTTTTTGCGTATTTGGGCTAATGCGCCTGCTTCTAGCCATTTGGAGAAATAGTCAGTTAAAACTAAAAGGGATCGTACATTACCTCGTCCTGCCGGGAGGGGTCTGACGATGTCCATTCCCCACTTGATGAAAGACCATGGCAAAGTGACTGAATGAAGGTGTTGGCCCGCTTGGTGAATCATGGGGGCGTATCTTTGGCGTTGCTCGCACCTTTTGACGAAATTGGCGGCTTCCTTCTTCATAGTGGGCCAATAGTAGCCCGCCCGTTCGAGGCATCTGAGGAGAGCTCAGTTGCCGGTGTGAGCTCCACAGTGGCCCTCGTGTACTTCTTCGAGGTCGCATCGTGTTTGATTTGGCCCTAAGAACTTTGCTAGGGGCCGCCAAATGTTCTTTTGTAAAAGTCGTTATTGACGACGCTGTGCCTGACCGCCTGCATTCGAAGCTTCTTAGCTTCTTTTTTATCGGGTGGGAACACTCCATCCTGCAAGTATGAGATAATACAATTGCGCCAGTCCCAAGTCAGATTTATAGAGCGTACCTCGATTTGGTCTAGCAATGAATGGAGCAGACTGACCACGTCCCCCTCTTCGGTTATGCTTTTGGTGGCCGCAGCTAATTTGGCGAGGCCATCTGCTTTGATGTTCTGCGCTCGAGGTATTTGATCGAGCTGGCATTCGTCAAACTCGGGTAATAGTTTGTAAATCTCGGTCTGATATTTCGGTATCGTTGCTCCTTAATTTGGAAAGTCCCTATGACCTAATTGACGACGAGTTGCGAGTCGCATCGAAGGATAACTCGTCGTGCTCCATATTTAAGTGCTATTTTAAACCCTGCAATCACGGCCTCATACTCAACCTTGTTGTTAGTCATATCAGGGCATTGTATGGATTGGCGAACCACTTCGCCTGTTGGGACCTCGAGCACGAGTCCCAGTCCAGATCCAGATGCGTTAGAAGCGCCATCGGTGTACAGAGGTCGCGTACTTTGGTAGAAGTAATGGCGGTTTCCTTCTCAACTTCGGACATTATCTTCACACTAAAATTGGCAATGAAGTCGGCAAGAACTTACTACTTTATCGCTGTTCGCAGTTGATAGGTCATATCGTGCTTGCTCATCTCTATGGCCCACTTGGCCAATCTACCCGACAATTCGGGTTTGTGAAAGATACTCCTTAAAGGAAAAGTCATGACCACCAAGATGGGGTGGCGCTGGAAATAAGGTCTAAGCTTTCGCGAAGCTACGACCAGGGCCAAAGCTAACTTCTCGAAGTGGGGGTACCTCGTTTCAGCATCGACCAGAGTTTTGCTAATATAATAGATCGAAGATTGCGTACCTTTATTTTCTTGTACCAGGACTGCACTTACTGCAACATCGGACACGGCCAAGTAGACAAGAAGGCGTTCTCCCGGTTCTGCCTTAGCGAGCAACGGTGGCGAAGACAGGTAGGCCTTCAGTTCTTTCAAGGCGTTGATGTATTCGGTATTTCATTGGAGTCCATTATACTTTTTGAGTACGCCAAAAAATTTGTGGCACCTATCGGAGGACCGCGAGATGAATCTTGACAAGGCGGCTATTCAGCCGGTCAGTTTTTGCACTTGTTTTTTGCTAGTTAGATTTTCTGGGATTCCTTCTATGGCCTTAATTTTGTCGGGATTGACCTCGATGCCTCGTTGTGATACCAAGAAGCCGAGGAATATCCCAGAAGTCACACCAAAAGCACATTTCTGGGGGTTTAATTTCATGCCGTACTTTCTGAGTATGTCGAAGGCCTCCCTCAATTGGTCGATATGGACTTCCTTTCTTTATGACTTGACCAACATGTCATCAATATATACTTCCATGGTTTTGCCGAGTTGTTCTTTGAACATTTTGGTCACCAGCCTCTGGTACGTTGCCCCCGCATTTTTTAACCCGAACGACATCACTCTGTAGCAGTACGTCCCCTGGTGGGTGATGAAGGTGGTTTTTTCCTAGTCCTACTCCTCCATGAGGATTTGGTTGTAGCCCGAAGAGGCGTCCAAGAAACCCAGCAGTTCGTACCCGGCTGTAGCGTCGATGAGTTGGTCGATATGAGGTAGCGGGAATGAGTCTTTTGGACAGGCTTTGTTTAGGTCTGTGAAGTCCACGCACATTCTCCACTTACCGTTCTTCTTTTTCACCATGACTACGTTGGCGACCCACTGAGGGTACTTTGATTCTTTGATAGAATCATTCACTAGTAATTTCTCGACCTCTTCATGAACTGCGTCGTTTATTACCGAGTTGAACTTCCGTCTGATTTGTCTTATTGGGGGGTAAAATGGGTCGACGTTCAACTTGTGAGTTGTTATTTCCTTTGGGATACTGGCATGTCTATATGGGAAAAAGCGAACAGGTCCACATTATTTTTTAAGAATAGATGAAATTTACCTGGATCATGGAGTTTACGGCCGATGAAAGCTTTCTTGCTGGGGTTGTCATCGTCTAATTGGAAGGGGTTGAGGTCTTCTACGGTTGACCCCGTGGCTTCTATGATTTCAGGGTTGCGGGTGACTTCTTTTGTTTCCTCGCCATTCTACGCCATCTTCGTTAATTGCTATGCTTCCTCAGCTTTTTCTTTCGACTTTTGGGTGTATGTGTAATCTTGGGCGATGCGGTAGCATTCTCGGGCCGTTCGTTGCTCTCCCCGGATGCTAAATACTCCCCAGGGGCTGGGAAATTTAATGACTTGGTACAAACTGGAGGGGACGGCTTTCTTGTCATGTATCCATGGTCGGCCTATGATGGCGTTGTACGCCATATCCTGGTCCATGATGCGGAATGTGATCTCCAAGGTGACGCCGCCGTCCAAGACGGGCAGCGTGATTTCTCCAGATGTCCGCTCAACTGCATTGTTAAAACCTGTTAGCGTGATGCAATGTGGCACTATTCTGTTCTCGAGCTTCATTTGGGTGAGAACTCGAGGATGGATGATGCACGTGCCACTTCCATCATCGACCATGATACATCTTACATCAGTATCAAAAACACGTAAAGTAATGACAAGGGCATCATAGTAAGGAAAGACCAAACCGTGGGCATCCGACTTATCGAAGTAGATACTTTCTCTGAGTTCGTCATACCGTTCGTGGGTGATTGACCGCTTGAGATTGTGAGTGGTGGTGAACTTCACGCTGTTGATAGATGCGTTATTGCCTCCCCCGATGATCATTTGAATGGTCCGAACTGGGGAAGGTGGTTTGGGCGGCCCCTAATGTTGTTCTCGCCCTCGTGCGAAGTTGGCCATCCCTCAATCGCTCATCAATTCTTTTAGGTGCCCTTTGTGAAGCATTTTCATGACCTCTTGTCTGAGGGCGATACAGTCCTCGATCTTGTGATCTCGTTCCTAGTGGAATTCGCAGAGGGCGTTTGATTTTCTGGTGCTCGGGTTGAACTTCATTTTCTACGGCCATGTTACCTTTGGGCTGAGCTTTTCTAATGCATAGACTATTTCTGAGGGGGAAACACAAAAATTATGAGCTGATAACAAGGGGACATACCTCTTTCATTTCGGTGGGTTCCTTTTCGCGGTCTAGATGGACCTTCGTCGTGACGTGGAGGTGGCATAAGGGTGCCTCTGACGTAAGGCTGATGTCTTTCTCGATTAGGTCGTGACCCTGCTAGATCTCTTCTGTTGTCGTTTTTTCGGTCTTCCTAGACTCTATTTGGACTGAAGTCAGGCGTTGAGATCATCCTCGTCTGCTCTTACCTCGGCACAGTAGGCATTGTGTATATCATCCTAAGTGGTTGAAGGGTATTTCATGAGTCGGCTTAGCAGTTTTTTGGTCGCCCTCGACCCACTTCTACTCAGCCCATTCTGAAAAGCAGCCACCGCCGTTCCTTCAGATACATTCGGAAGGGTCATTCTTACACGGTTGAATCGGGCGAGGAAATCCCTGAGTCCCTCGCCAAGAGATTGCTTGATGGCGAATATATCGTTCACCCTGCCTCCGCTTTCTTGGCCCCGGCAAGGGCGGTGACGAACTTGTCGGCCATTTCTTGGAACATTTCTATGGAGCGCGCAGGTAACTGTGAGTACCAAGTCAGGGCCCCGCCAGTTAGGGTCTCTCTGAACTTCTTCAGCAATATGGACGATACTTGTTTTGGGATATATACTATTAACCATGGGTTTGGTTTAGATATAGTATTTGTTTTGGAATAATTGTTTATTCAATTTTAATAAAGTTTTAAATAGATCATATATTAGTCTGTGTCCTTTGCTTATATAGTAGATGATTTAGTGTATAGAGTTTAGCTTATACACGGAAGATTAAATCATCGATTCTTATAAGTATAAAGTTTGAGTTCACAATCTAATGATGGAATTGGACAAACCATCATGGATGATTGTAGCACAAGATTAAATATAATTTATCTTGATTATGGGAATGGTTTAATTCCAACTTCTTGTGCTAGTACATTTTGTATGTATTGAACGGACCAAGTAGAGATAAGTATTTTATACTGACTTAATAAAATAAACTCTCTAACCATTAAATATACTTATACTCTTAATCTTGATATAATTATTATTAGCTGTACATTATTATTGTTTTAATTTATTAAAAGGCGAGATTCTTTCGTGGGTCAATATGCCTGGTAAATTGGATAATAATAATAATGTATATTGGCGAAGTAATAGTTAGTTGATGGAATCCATGTCTCAGATTAGATATTGATGATACACCTTTATGAAAGCTTATAAGTTTTTATGTGTAAACCCAGCCGGTGGATTTTATACTCGACACATGAAATAAGTTAAGAGAAAGTCTAACGGAAATAATCAATAAATTAAATCGTCAGTAATTTAATTTAATTGATTAGTATCTGAATCTTAACATGGGGAGTTAAATAAGATATGATGGATGAATTTCGAAATTGAATAAGGAGTGCAATTACGAATTTTTAGTGGAATAATTCGTAATTAATTATGGTAGATATTAATTTTGAAAATTAGAAATTAATTCCATAACTGGAGCCTTGTTAGTTAAATTATATGGTCCCTACTGTTCCTAAATAATAGGAAATAAATGAATCTTTTTTTGGTAGAAAAGAAAACCCAACAGGTTTTGGAAAAGGTTTTAACCCTTAAAACTTGTGCTATAAATACATAAGGTTTTCCACCTAGAGGGGGTAGTACATGGTGGCCGGAATTTTTAACCAAGTTTTCCTAGAAATTTCACCCACACGAAATTGCTATTTTGGGATATTATTTGGGTAACACAGTAGAAGACCGTGGAACGTTCGGAGATCGTGATCGAGCGGGTGATGGAGATTTCATCGAATTGTTGTGGAATTGGAGGCTCACGTGATAGAGAAGCTTTGTCCACTTTTCAAGAGGTAACCCGTGAAATCCCGTTTATACTAGTTGTCTAGATTACATGTGATTTTGATATTGGGATTGCTTCCGCTACTTATTATAATCCATCAGTTGGTATAGAGCGCACTCACATCTAATTAGATAACTAAGTTTTTCATGAAACAAGAATATCGTGTTTATGTGCGTTTTTGAATTACATGTATATGTGATTTTCTAAAAAACTGCATTGTTGTTTTGTGAATTAACTGTGCAAAAATTTGAATTATTCTGGCAATCATGAGATATCTGTTTTTTATTGATATTTGATTGGGATGATCTGGATTTTTTTTTGGTAAACCCTAGAAAAACGCAAAACCTGATTTTGACCGAGTTGCCGGTATTTTCGGAGGTTAGCAAACTTGACGGACTTCGATTGAGCTGAAATTTGGTGGGTCCATCGGAAATGAAGTGGTGAGAAAAACTCACCGACTTAGCAGTGAATCATGGTATTTTTTGGCATTTTGAGGCCGTTTGGACTATGTTTTGGACGTTTTTCTATTTTCTGGAAATTATCTTTTAATAATTTTAATTCGTTTTTAATTCAATGGTGGTGGGGGTGACTCCCCATGGTCTCCATGATTAAATATTGGTGATATAATAGGTTTACACATTGGCTATTAGTAAACAGATGTGTTGTTGTATTAAATTCAATAATACAGGTGTAGGATTTTATTGACTAGGTCTTACAAGGTATAAATGATATTGTGTGATGATATAATTATTTTGTAAGAAAGTGAAATCCTCTGTTTGATATCCTTAATGACTAATGATTGGAGCGTTTGGCATATTTTTGCAACAACAACAACAACAACCGAGTAAAATTCCACCAGTGGGATTTGGGGAGGATAGAGTGTACGCAGACCTTACCCCTACCCTAGAGGGGGTAGAGAGGCTGTTTCCCGGAGACCCTCAGCTCAGATACAATAGATCTGTGACAACAAAACCCAAAAATTAATCAGCAACATGAGAGACAACAAATAAATGGAAAAACAGTAACACATGTATTATGCATAGGTGTGAAACACAACATAAATCGCTAGCAGTGCTAGACAAAACACTATCATACTCGTCGGTACAAAGAGGGAAATCGGGACAAAGAGGAAAATCGCTCGACTACCCTTTAACCTACAACCCTAATGCTCGACCTCCACACCTTCCTATCAAGAGCCATGTCCTCGGAAATCTGGAGCCGCGCCATGTCCTGTCTGATCACCTCGCCCCAATACTTCTTGGGCCGCCCTCTACCTCTTCTCGTACCCGTGAAAGCCAACCGCTCACACCTCCTAACCGGGGCATTTAGGCTTCTTCTCTGCACGTGTCTGAACCACCTAAGACGCATTTTCCGCATCTTGTCGTCCACCGGAGCCACGCCCACCCTCTCCCGAATATCTTCATTCCTACTCTTATCCAGCCTAGTGTGCCCACACATCCATCTCAACATCCTCATTTCTGCTACTTTCATCTTCTGGATATGTGAATTCTTGACTGGCCAACACTCAGCTCCATACAACATGGCTGGTCTAACCACCACTCTATAGAACGTACCTTTGAGTTTCGGTGGAATATTCTTGTCACACAGAACTCCAGACGCTGACCTCCATTTCATCCACCCCACCCCAATACGGTGCGTAACATCCCCGTTGATCTCCCCATCTCCCTGGATTATTCCACTAACCTCCTGATAAGGTGGATAGCTTCCGTAGTAGAACGACCCAGCATGAACCCGAACTGGTTTTCCGATATAGACACCACCCTCCTTATCCTCCCTTCCACCACCCTCTCCCAAACTTTCATGGTATGACTTAGTAACTTGATACCCCTATAGTTGTTACAATTCTGGATATCACCTTTGTTCTTGTACACCGGAACCATTGTACTCCACCGCCACTCATCAGGCATCCTCTTCGTCCTGAAGATAATATTAAATAACCCAGTCAGCCACTCCAATCCTGCTCTACCGCATATCTCCAAAACTCTATCGGAATCTTGTCTGGTCCGGTTGCTTTGCCCCGACTTATCTTACCCATCACACGCACTACCTCCTCAACCTTAATACGCCTACAATACCTAAAGTCACGGTGACTCTCATACTGCCCCAATTTCCCTAACACGATGTTTTCATACCCCTCTTCATTCAGAAGTTTATGAAAGTACGACTGCCATCTTTGCCTAATTTGGGCCTCTTCCATCAATACTCGACCGTCCTCGTCTTTGATGCACCTCACTTGATCCAGGTCGCGAGCCTTCTTCTCTCTCGTCCCAACCTTTGCCCCTAAGTTCCTCATACAGTCGACCAAATGCAGCAGTCTTAGCCTCTGTGACCGCTAATTTCACCTCCTTCCTAGCCTCCTTATATCTTTCTATGTTCGCTCTCCTCTGATCCTCGTCGGTGCTCTCTATTAACTTATTGTAAGCCGCTTTCTTGGCTTCCACTTTTACCTTGGACCACGTCATTCCACCACCAGTCGCCTCGGTGCCTGCCAGAGTAACCTTTCGAAACTCCCAACACCTCTCTCGCTGCCTCCCTTATATAGTCCACCATCGCCATCCACATAGCGCTAGCGTCCCCACCACTCTTCCAGGTACCCATACTCATCAGCCACCCCTCCAAGTCCCGCGCATTATCCTTAGACAAAGCTCCCCACCTGATTCTCGTTTTTGGCATATTTGTGCATAAAAAAAATTTCTCAAATATTAGTTTATGTTTTCATGCCCTACGTGATTACTAGTCTTGGATTTTCGATGAAAAATTTTGTTCTCTGGTTGGAGGTTGTAATTAAGTGAAATATGACAGTATTTTGTATGAGTTTTAT